CAGATCCTTGGGGACATGGAGAGGGGGTAGAGCAGGGGCTGGCAGATGGCCACGTAGCGGTCGTAGGCCATGGCAGCCAGGAGGTAGCACTCGGTGGTGGCAAAGGCCACATAGAAAAAGAACTGCGTGAGGCACGCGGCGTGAGAAATGGCCTTGTCCTCAGCCAGGAGATCCCGCAGCAGCCTGGGAGTGATGCAGGAGGAATAGCAGAGGTCAAGCAAGGAGAGGCTGCTCAGGAAGAAGTACATGGGCGTGTGGAGCTGGGCAAGCAGCCGGATCAACAGCAGCAGCCCCACGTTCCCCAGCACGGTGATCACATACATCACCAGGAACAGCACAAAGAGGGCAACCTGGACATTGCCCAGCTCAGAGAATCCCAGCAGGACAAAGTGAGCACTGGGAGTTCCATTTCCTTCAGCTGCCATCCTAGCACAGGTGCTGTGGGAAAGCAGAGATGCAGAGTCAGGGTATTCCAGCTTTCTGCACAAACATGTTATGAACGCCTGTGTTTTTATCAGCAAACACAGCCTGGAGATGCAGGAACTGCAGAATTTACTGTTTGGTTCAAAATACATTTTAAAGCAGCCAAAGTTGACTACCAGGTTTGTTTTCAATAGTTTTAGTCTGGTTTAGCCACCAATTTGGTTTGATACATCACTTTGCACAGTGGAAGGTTAATTCCATCTCCTGAAGAAGTTAAGGGGGTTGTTACTAATCACATTCAAAGCATTAAACTCCAGTAATTTATCCTGACTTTAGAAACCGTTATCAATCTAAAAAACAAACTGAAAACAACAAAAATAACCCCAAACCTCATTGGTTTAGAAGATCCAAAGGAGACAAAACACTGGTGAGAGATCAGGACATCTTTAAAATTTTCTTTAGGAGAGTCAGAATAAATAAAAATAAAACTAATATCTTCCCTTCCTTCCTGTGAAACTAAAATTCAGATTCAAACAAGGTATTTGTATTAAAAACCCCTTTAAATATGGTGATACTTGTGTCATTCCTGTGAGAAGTGTGGAGAAAGAAAAGGGTTTTAAAAGTCTGGAGGCCCCAAAAATGCTGTGGTACCATGATGAACTGGGGGATTAATTAAGATAATACAGTTCAAATAAATATAAATAAATAGATGTAATTTGGGAAATAATCCAGGTAGTGCTGCTACGAAATGATTGCTCTTCAAGGCCAGGTTGGACAGGGTTTGGAACAACCTGGGCTAGTGCAAGGTCCCTGCCCATGGATCACCACTGGAGGACCCATAGGGTCTCTTCCAACCCAAACCATGGATTCCATGATAAATTCCTGGGTTTCACCTCAGAGACCCTGAGCCTGGATGATTATTTGTTGTGAGAACAGGCTCCCACCTCAAACCCTCTCCTTGCAACACATCAACTCCTTGCAGCCTTATTATGGGTAAAACTCACGTTTCCTCACATCTCAGGGCCCTTTTTTCTTGATCAGATTTTATCTCCCAGACCAAAATTTCCAGGGAGAAATAAACCCAGATTTCTGCCAGTATTAGTGTGGAAGACAGGAATAATTTACCCTCACAAAGAGCATCAAAAATCCTGCTGTTTGTAGTCTTCATTCACAGGAACACCGAGGGGTTTGTCACTGCCCAGCTCTGGAGGAAGGAAATTCCCTTGGGAATGGATGACTGTGGAAGCTCTTTAAGGAGGAGACCTGCACCGGTAAATAAACACAATTAGATAAAATCAACTCAATTAGTTTCAGGGACTTAAATGGCAGCTTGAGGATTTATTTCCCACTATATATATATATATATATATATATATATATATGTATATATATATATATATATATATATATATATATAAAATTAAAAATATGAACATTTTAATACACATAAAGTTAATATAGAGTTTTGTTTTATTTTATATATGCAGTTACAGATATAATTACTAAACACATATAAATATTTTCCTAATATATTATTTTATTTTATATATAATATATAATTTTATATATTCGAATTTTATATATATTTAAATTTATCTCTTGGAATATATAAATAATTTCCTGGGATCACAGGGAATTAAAAATAACTGGTGTAAGAAATTGAGATTCAGGGACTGAGAGACAGCCCAGGGTTTGGAGATGGGTTGCAATTGCTAATCTGAATGAAAAGAAAACTCCACAGGAACTCTCCTGCTGCAATTTATTTTTGCCTTTTCTGGTGATAATGATGAGCTGAATTTAAGACTTTTAAGCTCAAACTGACCCTTCAGTCAATTTTCCCAGAGTGTGCCTCCTAATTCTGCTGATATGAGGAATATTCATCCAAAATTTGAGTTAGGCATGAAGGTTCAGATGTACTGGAGTACATGTTTTGCCATCAGGAAGGACCTTTGCAATTTCCTGGAGTTATTTGTTATTATATTCCATAAAAACCTTCATGGAGAGCCTCCTGCTTCTGCAAACACTTGGGAAGGAAAATTTTCCCCACTCAGGAAAAAATTGCCTCAAAACCACTTAAAATTTCACCCTCTCTGAGTGATAAGATACTCACAGGTCCTTGAGTTGAAGTCCACAAGCTCCATCGATCTGGCCAAAATGAGGAAATTTTCCATTTCCATCCTCTGACGTGGCTGGAATATTTAAGTTTTACCCCATCCTCATGCGACCAATTACCACAGGCTCTCTGAGGCACCTGAACACAGAATGAGCCTTCCCCAGAGTCCCTGGGATCCATCCCAAGGTTCCTCCCTGGAGTTTCAGGCATGGGATGCCCACAGCACATCAGAATTGATGCCTGCAGAGCCTGAGCGATGCCATTTGTGAACACAACGCTGTCAAGAGGAAACACCAAAGCAAGGATTTTTGCTAAAGGCTTGAATTGGAAATATTTTTAATTTTTTTTCTAATTCCATATTTATCTTCTCCCCTCACCCTCCCAAAGAAGCTTTTCCTTTCCTGTTGCTCCAGCTCTCAGTCAGAGGTTCATTGCAGAAATCACCTGAGTGGCTGTTAATGCTTTTCTCCAGCTGCTGGTGGATGTCCTTGCCCCCAGGAGGTATTGATGGCTCATCTCCATCTTGGTGGCCACCACAACCTCCACAGCTGCTCTCCTGTCCCAGTGGCTGGGACAATTATTCCCCATGGGCAATGCTCAGCATTTTCCCTTTTCCAAGCTTATATGGTTCCTATCTGCCCCTTTTTGACCAGGAAAGCTCATTTTCAAAAGACATTTTGCAATTTGTGCTTCAGAATGGGTTCAGAAGACTCATGGGGAGTAAACTGCACCAGCCAGAGAATCCTGGAATGGCTGGGTTGGAAGGGACCTTAAAGCTCATCCCATTCCAACTCCCTGCCATGGGCAGGGACACAGGATGACCCCTGAGGGGGGTGTGTCCATCAGGAGCAAACCTCAGTGCTGGACATTCCATCTCCTTCCCATGCAGTGGCTCCTGCTCTCTCATGAGCAGGTGCTGTTCCCACAAATTGGACACAGGTCACCCTCATTTCCCCAGTCCCCACTTGCACAACCACCCAAAACCTTTTGGTGTTGAGAGCAGCAGCTCGAGCAGGAAGCCACAACACACACAGTGACAGTGCCATGGCCACAGACTCAGGGCTTTATTCACTATGGGCTCATGGTCTTGTTTAAAGGGCGGGTGATGGTCAAGGCAAGACCAGCTGGACAAAGTCATTGAATGGTTTCTCAAACTATTATTCAAATATTGAATTTTTTCAAGTATTTTTTTCTATTGACAAACAATAGTTGAAAGGCCTGGGAGGAAAAAAGAGTTGCTCTGGGGCTTATGTCTTAAATGCCTTAACATTTATTTAATTTTTTTTTAATGATTTTATTTCATAATGTTTATTAAGTGCCTTAATGTTTATTAAGTAATTATGGGGGTTTATGTTTTAAATAAAACATTTAAAATAATCTTTACTCCTATTTAAAGAAAAATTTTACAATATTTTCTGCACCTAAATTAAGCAAAGACCAGAGGGTGGCAGGGAGGAGCAGAAGGTTGTGAAAACAGCAGGAGTTACATAAGGAGTAACCAGTTCATGGTCCTGATCATAGTCATGGAATTGGTTGGGTTGGAAAAATCCTCTAGGATCATCAAAGTCCACCCATTCCCACAGCAGTGCCAAGATCACCACTAATCCATGTCCCCAGGTGCCACATCCACGTGGCTTTTTTAAATCCCTCCAGGGATGGGGACTCCAGCACTGCCCTGGGCAGCCTGATCTAGGGCTGGACAGCCTTCTCCATGGAAGAATTTTCCCTCTATCCAACCAAAACCTCCCCTGGTGCAACTTGAGGATGTTGTCTCCACATCTGTGGATGTGTGAGTTGAGGACCTTTGGGGTCCCTGCCATGGGGGTTCAGCACAGCTGATAAGAGAGGACAGGAGCATAAACAGCTCAGGGGGATTGATCCAGGCAGCTGGACTAAATAATAACCAGGGAATTATCAGCAAGATTTGGATTCAGTTGAGTGACCCTGTGAGTTTTGTGTCATCAATAAATCAGCAAACTACCTTGATCCGGCCTTGATTTAATCCAACTGAGCAGCTTCTTCTCCATGCCAAGTTAATCCATGTCTCTAGGAGAGCTCCATCACTCTGGATTTCCCCATGGACCTGGCACAGGGTGAGGTAATGCATTGACTGGAGGGTTTGGGGTTTTTCACATATGCAATGCTTGTGCACCAAAATATTAACACCAAAAATGTCACAGTATTCTGGAATGGTTTGGGTTGGAAGGATCCTCAAAGCTCATTGAGTTACAACCTCCTGCTGTGGGCAGGGACACCTTCCACTAGACCAGGTTTCTCCAAGCCTCATCCAAACACCAAATCTGGAATGAAATTGTTATTTTCATCTGATATTGAATCAGCCAGCATATCATCTAAATCAAAGTGCAGAAGGCCCCAAAAATGTCTGTATGACATATTTCACAAAAATCCCAGGGTATCACCCACATCTCCTTTGTATCTGGCCACAAAGCTAAAACTTCCCAGCTCATTTTATTTTCCTGAGTCTCTTCCAAGCCTCCTTTACCTCCTGGTTCCTCAGGCTATAGATCAAGGGGTTCAGCATGGGTGTCACCACAGTGTAGAGCACAGCAGCCCATTTATCTACTCCCCTGGAGGAGTCTGACCTGGGGACTAAGTACATGAAAATCAAAGCCCCATAGAAGGTGCTGACAGTGGTGAGGTGGGAGGCACAGGTGGAGAAAGCTTTGTGCTTGCCCTGGGCTGGGCTGATGCTCAGGATAGTGAGGATGATGGCCACGTAGGACACCAGGACCACCAGGATGGTGGGAACACCAAGCAAACATGAAGCAGTCCTCAGGATGACGAGGCTGAGGGTGTTGTCAGAGGTGGAGAGCGAGATCAGCAGGGAAATGTCACAGAAGAACAGATTGATAGTGCTGGAGCTGCAGAAGGACAAGCTGGACATGCCAAGGGTTTGTCCCACACCATTGGCCAGCCCCAGGAGGTAGGACCCGGCCACCAGCCGGGAGCAGCGCTCTCGGGACATGACAAGGGGATAGAACAAGGGGTGACAAACAGCCACATACCTGTCATAGGCCATTGTAGCCAGCAGGAAGCACTCAGTGATCAGAAACAGGCCAATAGTGAACACCTGAGCCGTGCACCCAGCATAGGACATTCCCTTCCTCCCCAACAAAACCCCAACCAACATCCGGGGGGTGATAATGGTGGAAGTGCAGAGGTTCACAAAAGCCAGGTTGCTCAGGAAATAATACATGGGGGAGTGGAGCAGGGGGCTGGCTCTGATCAAGGCGATCATCCCCAAGTTCCCCAGGATGGTGACAAGGTAGGTGAGCAGGAATAGCAGGAAGAGGGTGACCTGATTTGCAGGGTCCTTGGTGAATCCTGCCAAGCTGAACTCAGTTGCCTGGGTGCAATTGCTTCCTGGCATTTCTTCAAAGTGTGTTGTCTGTGTGAACTCCTTGCTGGAGGTTTCTTCCATCTTTGCAGTGGGATCTGCTTGGAGACAATCCTCCAAGATCTAAAACAAGAGTTTAGGCACAGACTGATTAGACAATGCTGGGTGGAAATCATGGCATGGGTAGGGAGAAGCTGCAGGTTACACAACCCTTTACCTTGCTGCTGCCTTTTATCCCCTGTGTGTGCTCAGTCTGGGACTTTGAAATCATCCAGCACAACCTGAGACATGCAGAAACCAAATAAAAGCTGTAAAAGACAGCACAGAATTGATTATTCATCCTTGTGTTGGCATCTACCAACCACCTGCTTTGTCTGTCTTCTCCATAGATCCTGGAAGGGTTTGGGTTGGAAGGGATCTTGAAGATCATCTCATTGCACCCCATGCCACGGGAAGGGACACTTTCCACTAGACCAGATTGTTCCAAGCCCCGTTCAGCATGGTCTAGAACACTTCTAGAGTAGGGGCATCCAAAACTTCCTGACTATGAAATCTCCTCTCCCTTCTGATGCAGTAGTCTGACTCTAAAAGATTTTCCAACTGCTCCTGCAGTCCTCAAACAAAAACACACAACACCCAAAGCTGAGCAATTCCTCCTGAAAATATTTCTTCCGGGAAAAAAAATTAAAATCACCTTTTGGATGTGCCTTATATCAGCAATAGTAAGATCCATAAGTGTTCCTTACAGGAAGGCTTCCAGTCCTCATCCAGGAGCCCTTTGTGGTCAGTGAGAAGTACCCAGAGCAGGTGTTCCAATGGGGTGTCCTCACCACACACCTGCTGCAGATCAGCTGGATTTGCTGCTAAGCCCAGAGTATGATGGGGAGCTGGAGCCCAGGAGCCTCCAGGTAGGAGCTGAGATTAAGACTGAAGCTGTTTCTTCTTTGCAAGAGAAAACGACAGGAGATGAGTGGCTCAGCACGCACTGTCCTTGCTCCTGGTTCTCCAGGATGATCCCCCCCTACATTTCTGCACTCTCCCTGCTTCCCTCCTGATGCTCTTCAAGGTGGATATTAAGGTGCTCTGCAGGTGAATTTAAAATATACCTCCATAAACAAAGACAATTTTCCATGTAATTTAGGGATTTAGAGGCTCTTGAAGCCCCAGGAGAGTGACAAAGCCCAAAGCAGGTTGTTATCTCTTCTCTGAGCTTCTGAGTTTGGAGATGATTACACAGAGGAGATGATCTCACCTTGAGTAAGCCACAGAGTTTTGGGGACTGCCCAGAGCAAACAGTGCAAAACCCCACCTGTTGCATCCAATTTTTGAGCATTTCAAAGATTTTCAGTTCTACAAATGCCATGTTTGGCCTTATGACACCAAGAAGCTGACAGGGATCTCACTAGTGGGCCACAGTCCCATGGGAGCCAGTATCCATCAGCAGTTCCAGTCACCAGAGATAATGAAACACCTTTCTACCCATTCTAAATTCCTTAGACTCACCTGTCCCATCCCTGGCAGTGTTCAAGGTCAGGTTGGAGCAATCCAGTCTAGTGGAAGGTGCTCCTGCTCATGGCAGGGGTGTGGAACAAGATGAGCTTTAAGAACCTTCCAACCCAAACCATTCCAGGATTTTATGAAGTTTGCCTGCAAGAATCCAGGGGAATCACAGAATCTGCCGACTTGGAAGGGATCCACAAGGATCATCAAGTCCTGCTCTCAGCCCTGCACAGGACACCCCAAGAGTCACATCACGTGCCCGACAGCATTGTTCAAACACCTCTTGAACTGTGCCTGGCTGACACTGATCACACCACCCTCCGAACACTGAGGGAAGTCCCCTGCCCAAGCAAGTGACAGCATACCCAGTACTGATCTTTCAAAGATTTGGATGGTTTCATGTTATGGGTGACAATCTGTGCTTCCAGCCTATAATATTCCAGCCTATGACAGCCAATGCCATTCCAAGCAGTCCAGGAAAAGCCTGGATTCTCCCTGTGCTGCCCCATCCCCACCCCGACAATCCAAGCACATTGAGTCGCTTCTTCGGAGCTCTCAGTGGCGCCGGGGGAGCCCGGCTTTGGGCTGTGCCTAAGGCAGGACTCGGAGCTCAGAGACACGGACCCGCCCTGGCCGAAAGAGCCCGCTTGGAGCACCAGAACACGGCATCTGGGCTTTCATTCACGACCAACAAAACGTTGCACTTCAGTTTCTCTTGGTGAGCCCAAACACTCAGCGCTTGGTCTCTTCCTCAAGCCCTGCAAACACAGCATTGACTCCCTGTTTCTGAGCCCCGGCTCCAGCCAGATGAGCCTGCTCTCAGGACTCCAAAATGCTCGATTTACTTTCTGCTTTTAAGCTCGGATTTTTTTAAGCTTGATTTATCACCCCCAAAACACAGCATTGGCTCTCTCTTTGTGAGCCCCAAAACTGCTCCAGTCCCTCCGGTTCAGAGCCTCTAGAAGTGCTGTCCGTGAGGATGAAGAGGCACTTTGGGATATTCTTTGCTGTGGAATCAGACACAGCCTGTAAATGATCTTTGTGGACCTTTCCAGGCCAAACCCCCCATGATTCCATGGAATGATCAGCACCTATCCCAATTCCATTCCAGAAACATCCTCTCCCTAACCCAGAACTTTCCTTTTTCTTCGCCACATCAGGGATGTGCTGCCTCAGCATTCCCTGGGACACCTCAGCATTCCCTGGGACACCTCGGCTTTCGCTGGGATTTCTCCGCATTCCCTGGGACGCCCCAGAATTCCCGGGATGTCTCAGCATTCCCTTGGACGCCGTCCCGGGCTGCAGTGCCGGGCGCTCCCACAGGGCGGCAGCACCGGGCGCGAGCAGCCCCTCCCGGTCCTGGTGTCCCGGTGTCCAGGTATCCCGATTTCCAGGTATCCCGGCCGGTCCCGGTGTCCTGGGGCAGCTGCGGCTTTAACCCTTCCTGACCCGGCGGGGCTGCGAGAGCCTGTGCCCGAGAGCCTCGTCCAGACCCAAACTCTTCCCCCAAGATCCTGAAAACACGGCGGGGCTGGGAGAAGGATGACGAGGGAGGGTTTTTTATCCATATCTCGTAACACGCTCGTTCTATAGAACCGATATTATCGGTATCGGTAATCCTGCAATCAATGTCCCTCACATCTCGCTGCACATCGTCACACTTCACCTTCACGGCGGCGGCTCCAGGGACCGACGGAAGCCTCTCCTGATCCCCGCTCCCATTCCCGCAGTCAGACCAGGTTTCCTTCCCGGCTCCACTCTTGGATTCCCGCGGGACTCTCAGGTGTCTCGTTCCATAAAGCAAATAATTCACAGTGACAAAGAGCCAGTCCGAGCTGGTCCTTCCGGAGAGCACCGATCACCTCATTCTTACCCCAAACTGTGCATTCTCTCCTCTGCACAGTAATTCAGATTTTACCCCAAAATATTCATTTTGGCCCCTACAGAATCCGCCCCAGAGCGACGCCCCGGGCCCCGCTCGGCCGAAGAAGCTCCGGTGCCCCCGGCCCGCAGCTCCCGCAGCTCCCGCTGCTGCCGCCTTCCGCTCCGTGTCCCCGGGATGGGACAGCGATCCCTGTACCGGGACTGCGACCCCTGTACTGGGACACCCATCCCCGTGCCGGGACTCCGATTTCCCTCGGCCCCCGTTCCCCGCTCGGGGCTGTCCCCATTGCACAATCGGGGCTGTCCCCGTTCCCCGCTCACCTCCGAGCCCGGCTCAGCCGGTGCCCCCTGCCCGGCCCCGCTGCTCCCCTAGTTCTGCCACAGCGTTCCTGAGTTTGGTCCCAGAAAAAAATTCGAATTTTATTTCTGAGCTGGGACTCGCAGGACTTGCCCCGACATCCTTCGGGGAGCCCCAAGTGCGATGTGGGGGAAGCCGGAGCCCCGGCGGTGTCGGGCGATCCTTGTGAACCGCACAGGGGGCCCCGCCGAGGGGCTCGGTCCCCTGTGGGGCTCCAGCCAGGGCGGGGGCTCCGGGCTCCGGCCCTCTGGGCTTTATTCTCCTGCACCCCGAGCACTGCGGCTGCGGGGAAAGAGGGAGAGGAGGGGGGATAGGGGAAATGAGGAGGGGAGAGAGAAGGGGGGAAGGAAAGAGGGAATAAGGGTAGGAGGAAGGCACAGGGTGGGACCCCGCCGAGGGTCCCCTTGCCTCTCCTGGGCCCCTCCGGAGGAGCCCGGCCCGGCCGCTGCCGCCCGCACGGAGCGCTGAACGAGGAAAGGGCCGGGGCCATTCCCGGGGCTTTAAATCCCCCCGCCCCGTTTGGGATCGCTCGCCCCGGGATGCGCTGGGAGCGTCGCTTTGTCCTGGTTCGGGATCACCTGTGCCTGCAGGGACATGGGAACTCCATGGAGAATTCTCCCTTTCCCATGGATGCCCCTCTCCCTGCAAGCCCTCGCCCTGACCCAGCGTGTTTCCACCTCCTTTGTCTCAGAGAGGGAAACACTGGCTGCTCCTCTGGGCAAGGGAAAGGCTCCTGTGCTATTCCCAAAAACTGGAATTGGTGCCCTGGGAGCCCAGTCCGGTCCTTCCAGTGACTGGGGGTCACCCAGAGGCTTTTTACCTGCATAAAATGAAAATGACATCCTGGTCCAGTGCATTTCCAGGAGGATTGGACACTCCTGGCCAAGGTGACCAGGAGTGGTGCATGGAAGTTGCACCTGTGACTCCAGGGGGGGATTTTAAGTTGAATTCTTGAAGATTTCATTGTACAGAAGCTCCAGTTGTTTTGCCACCTCTTGTTTAAATGTCTCCCTGCTGGAAGAGGTCAATTAGGGGTCTTTTTAATGACCAGATTGCCAGAGGCAGGGAAGACCAGCCAGCATTCCCTGAACTTCTCCATCACTTCCATGTCCACCTGCAAGCAGTAGCCAAAGGCCAGGAGCCAGCCCAGGACAGGCTCAGAGATGAGGCTTCCAACCCAAAACATCCCATGATGATTCCATGATCTCTCCCTGCATTAATTTTGCACCGTTCCCTCTCAAATGTAGATGATTTGTTAAAGGGAAAAAAAAATCTAAAATTATTCCAGGAATAAAACAGGATTTGTAAACGGTACAAGAATCATTCCTACATCCATCAAATCATAATTAATTGGAAGCCTATTCCCTCATCTCTGTCCTTGTTTTATTTTCCTGGAAATCCTTATGATCCTACAATTTCTAGGTGTATTTCACTCCCCAAAAAAAGGATGGAAACATCCTGATGCATCAGGGAAAGGATTTTTTTGTTATTCGAAGGAATGACAAGCAGAGAAGTGGCCTGGGAGAGTAGGGACGAACACACTCACCATTCCCTCTGTCCAAACCCTGCGCAGATGGGGCTGGGAATGCCGGAAGGAGCCGTGCGTGCCTCTAATTGCAGAGCGTGCCTTTAATCCCGGCCTAAACCAGCTCAGCCGTGTGAGCCCGGCCCAGCGCGGGGACAGGACAGGTCTCTGCACATCCCAGCACCCCGGTGCATCACCCCGGCCCGTCCCACACCCTCCAGTCGGTGTCTGGCCGTTCCAGACCGCGGATCCCCGTGCTGCAGGATCTCTCCCTCCTCTCCCATGCCCACAATTTGCCCGCAGCGATGGGGTCTTGTGGCTAATTGGAGGCAAATGTGGCAGCCACGTCTGGCTGAGCAGCTCCCTGCAGGTGGCCTCGAGATGTGACCTAGTTGTCACTGGAATCATCCTGCCTGCTCGGAGAGCCCTGAGCTCTTGTGACAGCTGGAGCCAGCTGACCCCTGCCATGTCCTGGGAGGAAGCAGGACCAGGGAAGCTGAGGCTGCTGTGAGCTGGAAGCGCTGCCAGGAGAGGTCTCACATCCCAGAGCAGCCTGAGGGAGAAGGGAGCTGTTTGGGAAACACTGGATAAGGGGCAGGAGGAACGTGTGTGCTTTCCATTTGGCCCTGGTGATATTCCCTTGGGAGTTTTTAGCTTCCAGAGCTGGATTTTTGTTGGCCTGTGCACCTGGGAATCACAGGCTGTCCCTGGTGTGTGGTTTCTGGGCAGGGCTTCATGTGGGTGAGAGGGCTGTGGACGGACAGAGGTATAAAGGGGACATAGGAGCCCGAGCTAAGCATGGAGAGAGGATCACCAGGTGAAACCCCGTGCCAGAACAGCAGGAATAGGGACAGCACTGAGGTGACTCCAGCTCTGGGTTGTCGCTCCTTTTTCCTTGCTCTGTGATTTTTCATCACGATCACCAGACATCTTTTTTCTTCCCTTCCTTCTCTTGAGCAAACATTCAGTGGATTAATGGATGCCTCAAGCTCCAGCCCTGCCCTTTGGGGAGGCAGATCCAGCTTTGGAGCCCTCTCCTGTGCCACAAGCAGTGTGACAGCAGCCTGCTGTCCCACTCCTCAGGGGAGTCTCCTGCCCTCTCCCAGCGTGTGGCTGTGTGGCTGTGGCAGGTGCAGGAAGCACAGTCTGCCCGCCTGGGCAGCATTTGGTGAGGGCAAAGGGCCTGTGAGAGGTGGTGCTGCATTAGCCAGAGCCTGCCTGCTGTGCAAAGCCTTATTAGAGAGCAAAAAGGGCTTTATTTCAGGCTGGAAGTCATCGAGCCTGTTCAGGCAGATGTTTATTTCCTCTGCTCCCTGGAATGATGTCATTATGGCCAGCAAAGTTCTGTGCTTCCCCAAAGCTGGGCAAACTGCTCTGGTACTTTCTCAGACTCCCCGGGCAGCACTCTATAAAATATAGGCAGTGTACCACTGCTTTCACAAGGAATTTCTGTTTAGCCTACTTACTAAAGTGCTCCAAAGGGAATCTGAGGTGTTTGTGTTCCATGATTCTTGAGAACGAGTCACTGTTTATGCTGGCAGGCTCCCAAATAAGGAAAAAAAAAAAAGATAATTCTGGGTCAAATTCTTGCTCTTAAGCTTTTACACTTCTTACCTCTTGGATGAGTCCTGTGCTCTGACATCAATCCTCCCACAGAGCACCAACCAGAGCCCGTCTGGCCTTTGGGATCCTGAGGTGACATGGAAGGGAAGGATCATCTGCTTTTTTTTTTTTTTAATACCTCTGGCATAAGACTTGCTTTAACCCTCACTGTTTTTTCTGCTGCAAAGAATCCTGGAATTAAGGTTTTTTTTGGACACTACCGTTTGCTGCTTTCTGCTGGAAAGCAGGTAATCTTATTCCAGCTAGGGAAAAATGCAAGGTAAACTTTTTAACTTCACAAAAATGTCTGAGCCTAGGAAGGGGAAATGAATACCTCTGTATCCCTAAAATTAGGTATATTTACACTAAAACCAATTGAAGATGTTTCAACTGCAACAGCCTTTTCCACATAAGTGTCTTTAAATCTTTTTTTTTTGCCCGTTAGAGGAACAGAATAAATAACAGCACCTGTGTATTTTAAAATTACGTTGTTAATAAAATCCTGGTACATTTACATAAATGACAACATTAATGTACAATTAAACAAAGCATTGTAATATTACAGCAACAAAAGAGGACCTACATATTTGTACAGATAGCTGGAGCAGCTTCTTAAAAATACTTTCCAAAATAAAGCCTTTCTGTGGCATTTCTCAGTGATAATTTTGACCCCCCCTGTATGGCTTTCTGTAATAAATAGGGTTATTGGAGCTGGTGATGCTCAGCAGATGTGTACCTAAAGCACAAAGGGAGTGTGCCCTGACCAACCTGTCTGTCAGCTGACTAAAAATCCTTATCCATGCATGCAATTTGCCTCTGTGTAAATCCTTTAGGAACAAGGCCATGTCAGATTTTGATGGATTTGCTGGGAGATGCTGGTGGTTCCTTCTCCTTCCCTTTATCTAAACTGTGTCTGTGTTGTGCTCTGGAGCCTGGGCACAGCTGAGCCTCCTCCTTCCACTGTGTTGAGATAGAATGGGAATAAATTGTTGAATAAATAGTTCTCCACTCAAAGCTTGGTTTCCTCTTGTTCACCTGTCTACAACAAATGGAAGTGAGCTGGCAAATGATTTTTGGTGAGTGCTTAGCAAAGCTCAGTGGGAATAGCTGGAAGTCTTTCCTTAATCCCAACCAGCTCCAGAGAGAGAACAAACCACTGAGCTGGATCTTCTTTGGAGGCCAGGGGAGGATTTTATTGCTATTTTTGCAACTGGGCAGTTTTTCAGCCTAGTGCCAGCTCCTGCTACACCTGAACCTTCTACAAAGTGTCTTCTGTGATGTCAGGTCTCACAGGTAACGTTCAGAAAGAGGCTTTTAAGGTGAAAGTGACTGACTGACACTATCGGACCTTGACAGCAAAAGGGCAGACAGTCTTCTTCTTTCTCCTCAAAACAAATTCAGATTAACAACTGGCACAGTGAAACTGTAAAAACACTCACACCCCCAACTCTTCCCTCCCTGCCCCAGCTCAGCTCTTCACATTAGGCTTAAAGAGTGAGTAATTTCAGTGTTAGTATTAGTTTCTACTCAGCTTTGAACATACAAAACCTCTCTGTCAAGGTGCAAACAGTTTTGGGGGAAGTTTGTCTGTCTGTTGCCATGTACAGACGCTGGTACTACTGAGGGGAAGTACTTTGTGTGCAGACAGATGGCTCGTGGGATGGGCTTTAGGATCAGCAAACTCCTTCTAGGCAGCCTTTTTACAGGGAAAACATCTGTGTGGGTGAACTTAAGCCCATGTATTAGCGCTGGGCTCAGTCCGATTGCCTGTTTCTCCACAGCCCGGCGCCGCGCTCGTGGAAAGGCAGCGCCGATCTCTGCGGGCCGGGTTCTCCCCTTGCCCCTCAGCCGGCGCCCGGGCCGTGGCAGCGGTGTCGGTGTGGCAGCGCTGTTCCTGTGGCAGCAGCAGCAGCACAGAGAAGCCAGCTCCCCTCCCTCACACGGGGGGTGCCTGTGCAGGGCACCTGGAGGAGATGCAGGAGGCAAAGCCGTGCTCACACCCGGGACGTGACGTACACGGAGTGCAGGCGGCCGGCCAGCGCGGCCTGCAGGTCCCGCAGAGGGTCCAGGCCCTGCACTTTGCTGTTCCTGCCGTAGATGAGCTGCTTGAACGAGTCCTGCTCCAGCAGGGAGCTCATGTGCTTGAGGAAGAAACCCTCGCAGAAAGAGGCCAGTTCTGGTGCGTTGTGAATCTGAGGAAGACAGCAGGATTATTAACCCCTTCTGTACGTCACAGACCTAAATGACATCCCTGAGTCTCTCATTCCTAATGCTTTTCTCCTTTTTGTCTCTCAGAAAACATAAAACAACAGGAGTAACAGCGGAAAAGCACCCAGGGCAGGACTTTGATAATTTCTCCTGGCGTTTTTTACAGGAGGGCATCCAGGCTTTTTTAATTCCTTCCCCTGCTGGCCTGCTGTTGGCAGGGCTGCTGGCCTGCACTCCAGCCCCTTCCCTTCGTGCAGCACAGCAGCTGGCTGATGAGGTGGCCAAGGTACCTGTTTGGCTGAGCCACAACACACAACAACGCCGCTGTGCTGGCAGATGGCGAGCAGGGCTCGGGGCAATCAGGACACGGGTCACAGGACGGCAGCTCCATCCCTACAACGAGGGGCTAAAGGCAGGAGAACAAGGATGCTGCACTCCTGAACCACCACAAAGTGTTTTCCTTTTGCTTCAGGATCAGTAATGAGAACAATGAAACTCAAGTTCAATATTAAGAAGCTCTGTGCACACGCAGCCTCTTCTTGGGAATTTTGTGCAAATAATAATTTAAGTGAAAGTATATAATGGCCAGTAGGGAATGCTGTTTCCCCTTTTTACCACAGCACACTCTTAAATTTTAGGCCTGAAAGAAACCAGGACAATGTGAGAGAAATTGAAAAGGATCAGAGGGACACTACACTCACAGTAAACAAAAAATCAGTACTAGCCCTCTGTGCAGTTTTCTCCTTTTCTTTAAAAGATCTGATCCTGCAAAATTCCAGGAAGGGCAGAGTATTTCTCCGATTTAGTTTATGTGCTACAGAGGTGTGTATCTGTCACACAACAGACTTTATGCTCATTTTGGAGCTGGAAAGAATATTTTCTAGCAGCACGGGTGCTCAGAAAGGGTTTATGCTGTAGTTGCTGTGATCAATTGCCCCCGCTGCTCCCAGGATTTGAATCCCTCAGGATTTGCTGATGTTGTTGTATCAGTCTGCTAAGACAGCTCTCCCCTACTCTGCAGGGATCCCCCATCTATTTCATCCATGATTGCTTCAGACAAGAAAACACACCGGGGCTGTGCAGGACTTTGCAGCTTGGAGCTGGGAATCACGTCACTGGTGTCGTGGCTGGGGGGCAGTTACCTGCAGGGAGGGTGCTCACCTGGGGTTTTTAGTTACTACCAGGAGCACACAGGCTGCTCACTGGGATTCTCAAACCAGGGTGGGGTGGATCTACCTTTGCATATTTATAGATGTTGACAGAGTTGTCCATGCTGATGGTCTGGGCACAGAGGATTTCACAGTGTCTCTGGAGGCCGTCCAGCTGGAACAGGCTGGCAGCCGACAGCAGCTATGGGGACAAGAGAGAGGCTATTTGAGATCATGAGGCTTGAAAGGCCTGGGGAAGGCAAACAGGACGGATGATTTCCTCTCTGAAGAGTCCCTGACTCTATTTTAATGGCGAAGTCCTCATGAAAGAGCAAAAAGGGCCTCTCCATGCTGAAGTGACAGACTGACACATTCCCCCTCTTAGCAAAAGCTCCTGCCACAACCATATTTGCTCTCCTTTCAGTCACCACGACACAGAAACACCAAGCAGTGATATTCTGAAACTTTTAAGCTCATTTCCAAGCATTAAGTATGCTCCTGGACTGAATGGGAGCCTGCTGTTAGCTCACAGATTTTGCCTTTCAACTCTGTTTTATGCCCCAGCGCACTTGGCAAGACTTGGAAGAAAAAGCTCTCTCACCTCTAAGATATCAGTGGTGGGAATTTCCATGGATTCTGTCCCTCCATAGTATAAATACTGCATCAGCATCTGGAATGGGAAGAAGGCCAGGCATGAAGTTATCACGGCAGTCACAAGGGGCTGTTGATGGCTGTGCTCCCCTTCCTGAGCAGACGGGAATCGTGTCCTGGGCCGGCTCTCACCTCCACTGGTGGCTTTTTTTCCCACTCCCTAGCGTGGCAAATTTGCTGCTTTCTAACAGGGCTTTCTCTCTTGGGCCCTGAAAAGGGCCCTGCTGGGGACTTTGGGCCGAGGGTGACAGTGTCTCTGAGCTGTCCTTGTCTCGGATCCGGGCTGGTGCAGCCTGGCAGGCTGGTCACGCGCGGAGCTGCCAGCGAGCCCAGCAGGAGTGGCCCGGGGACCTCCCAGCCACTTGCCTCCCCTGCTGGGCTTCTAATCAGCTTCCAGCCCCTCACCAGGCCCGGAGGAAAAGGCATTAATTGTTTGCAGGGAGAGCAAGAGGCAGCTCCTGCTCTTTGATCTATACGTGCCCACCCCCAGCCCTAGCAGTGTCAGGGGAGGGAATGGATCTGGTGTTGGAACAGAAGTGGCCTGGGTGCTGCGTGGGGCTTGCAAGCTCTGCTTGCCATTCCTAACACGGCTGGGAACAAAACTAAGCTGCTCCTTGTGCCTTATTTGTGTAAGAGTTACGTGAGAGCAAAGCTCTTCCCAGCAGAGCCCTGAGCAGGACACACAGCTCTGGTGGCTCAGCATCTTCCACCCCACCTGACCTGCCTCTCCTTAACCCATCTGCCTGTATTTACAGAAATACTTCCCTGTTTCAGTTCTTTCTCATTTGTCTCTCTCCGTTGAAGCACAAGTTTATCTTTAGAAACCTTTTAATGTACAAATGCTGTTCAGGAAACTTGTTTCAATACTCAGTTACATTTTCTTCTCTGTTGTTCTAGTTTCAGCTGCAAAATTTGGATGTCACCTATCCAACACAAAACTTGTACAGCCCCTTACAAGCAGAACAAAGATGTTCTCATGGTCATCTTACTTCCCTCTAGTGAGATAACAGCACTGCTGACCAAGAGAACATGTCTGTTTGCTTATAAAAAGAGAAAAAAAACCCTCAACCCTTTAGTGAAACAGCTACACAACTTATTCTGCACTTCACATCTCCCTGTTCCTCCACTAAATATGGAAATGTCATAAAAGCAAAGCACAGTTCTCAGTTCTGAGCATTTCTTGACAGGGACACCATTGATTTCTGATCATATGATTTGAATTAATATGAAGCCTGGCAATGCACCTGCTGTAAATAAGTTACTTTTTGCTTAGCAAAGCATGAATATGGTGCCATAAAAAGTACGAAAATGGTGTGTTAAAAGTATAAAACTACCTTTCAGTAGAAGACTAGTTTCTCCTGCATTATGGAGGAGTCAGCTGCCTAAGAAAATAATAATATAGACTGGAGGATTCTGTTTTAAAGCTGGAACTTTGGAAAAAGGGTATTTCAGAAAACTCCTGGAATTCAGATCTCTTGAAAGGTACTCCATTTCTACTTGTAATATTATCTAATTATGGTATTACTTATTATCTGATTATGATATTACTACTTGGTTTTGTCTTGCTTCCAAGTAGTTGAGTAGATGAAAAAGAATAAAGAAAAAGTGGAAATAAGTTCCATACCTTGAAAATGTTGTATTTCATATCACTGATTTCAACAGTCTTGCTGCCGTGGCCATCGTGCTCTGTTTTATTGATCATTAGTGTCTTGAACCTGGGAATAGTTTTAAACAGATTTAATTGAAAAGATTTAATTTAACTCTATTAGTGTGTCACACACTCATCACAAACGGCAAGGGGAAAACAAAGATCCCTCCTTGTTCTTTACATGTTGAAAATCGAAACATTTCCTTCAACTGAATGACGATTAGTTCAGGGACAATTTAAAACTGTAAATTTCCCGGATCTGATCTAATCCTACCCTGTGATAGGTGGAAAACCCTGTTACTATGCCAAGAACAGAGAAAGAAACTGCTAACTGCAAATGCACCAGGCCAGTGTGAGACTCCAGGAAAGCTGGAGCATGTGCAGCTCTCCCTGCAAACTCTGGGACAAGGAAGGGGAAGGCAGGGGATGGATATGTACACTCCAACTACCACACATCATTTCTGGGATAATCATGGCTGGATTAATTATGCCCCTGGTCAGTGGCTCACCTGTTAGATGCAGTAACCAGCAGGACTTTGTGTGCATAAAAGAGCTTTCCTTCCACTAAGAAAGTTACATCAGACATTTCTTTATTGTTCAGAAAGTGAGGATCTGTTGGGTAAAGGGACAAAAAAAAAGGTAAAGCTTTTTTTTTTTTAAACTGTGCATGCTTTACAGAAAAAAAATACAAACAAACAAATTTTTTAAAAAAAACCCAACCCAGTAGCAACCTGAAAAAGCTCACTGCTCAGGTGAGCACCTTACCCAGCCGAGCTGGCAGAGTCTTTCGGATTTCAGGAATGCTGGGAATGGGGCTGCTGCCATAGCAGTGGGTGAAGATGGAGGCGAGCTGCTGGTTGATGGAATCATTCTGTGAGGAGGATGGAACAGGGATCAGCAACTCAGCATCAAGCAGGTTCCAAATGTGCTGGAAGGGCTCACTTGGGGCTTACAGCAACTGCACCCTACAGGAGTAACCTCCCCACAGAGGGACAAGCTTTAAATTTAGGCAGAATTACAGTATCTGTGGAGTTATGGAGGCATAAAGAGCTGCAGAGCTACCCCCAGGTGTGTGTTTGAGGACTGTCTCGGGGCTGTTTATGAATTTAGATAAATGCTTCCAGGGCCATTTCCATGCCATAACTCCTAGGGACTTTGCCCAGCCATTCCCTTGGTCCTGTTGTGCACAACAACAAAACCCCAAAACACTCAGCTCTGACACTGTTATAAAACTCTGACTTACTTTGCTGGTTTTGAGGATGTCAAACATGAGCTGCAGCCCCTCAGTGACCAGCTCCTCGTTGTAATCCTCCTCTTTGATGGTGACAAACTCCCGCAGCAGGGTCTGCACCACGGAGTAGCGGGACTGGGAGAAGGTTGTCCGCAGGGACTCGATCCACACGTGGAGCTTCCAGGGCACTCCTGCAGCCACAGGAAAAAGGGACAGTGAAAGATGATTTCCTCAAGTGCCTGTGAGGAGATTATCCTGCTTCTGTTACTAACACTTGGCAGCACTGAACTGGCTCTACCTACATCCTAACAGTAGATAGATTTTTATCTTGATATTAAAGGTGACTGAACTGGGTCACTGACAGATTAAACGACAAAGGACTGGCACCAGAATCATAAATTGGAAATTTCTGCTGATTTTTAAGGATCAGAGACTCCCTGTTTTGTTCTGAGCTTCATGGTTAGTCAGAACCACAAAATAAATGTGAACTGAAGCTGTAAGGATATGTAATGCCACACGACTGTGGTGTGAGGTCTTTTCTCCTGGTTACACACAAGCTTCAAAGCTTTTCTCTCTCCTAGCTTGAGATCAGATCTGTTCCTTCACCTTAAACCATTGATAAACACTGAATTTTAGGTGTCAGTATCTGACAGGGAGAGAAGCCCCTTGCTTTTTATACATGGGAACAGAGGATCTAAGCCAAGAGTGAGGGACATCCCAGAGCAGCAGGAATTCGTAAAAATAAACTTGCGAGGAGCCTAAAACACTTCTACAATTTAGATCAGATAGCTTTGCAGTTGGGGTTGTTGCTCTTCTAAGTGAGAGGGGCAGAAAAGGCAGGATTTTATGTGCACAGAAGGAAGGGCTCACCCAGCGCCCTGAGCTCCATGGTGATGTCCACGTAGCCGTGCTCGGCGCTGTAGTACATGGCCTCCTGCAGAGCCTTCATCCGGGTCTTGCACAGCCGCACCTGCCCCTCGCTGGAGCTGCCCTGGCTGGACGTGTCACTCTCCACCCCCTCGGCCAAAATCTCCTCCAGGGACAGCACATCCCCCTTCACCTGCTGCGGCTGGGTCAGCAGCTTGCGCAGGACGTTCCTGAGCAGGGACCAGAGGTTTTCACTTACCACCAAAGGAAATTTCAACAACTCAGACAGGACTGTGGGGATTTGGGGTTAGGGATCCAGCTCAGTAAACAATAATTTCTTTCCCAAAGACAGCTGGCACTGTGGAGCAGCATGGAAACCAGTTGTCATTCCCCACCCCACATCCTAGAAACTGGTGCCTCTCAGCAAGGGCAGAAACACGGCCTGTACTCCTCCCATGGTGGGCTTGTTTGGAATTTCACACGGCAGTTGCAAGAAAGAGACTTTCTTGTTTGTGTCTTGTTTGGGGAGTTTGCATCACTGGTGTCCCTCAGCCAGCTGGGGACAGCTGCTCCAGACATTCCCCAGCCCAGCAGGGCCACCCAGCACTCCCTGTGCTGCTGCACTGCCACCAGCCAGTGCTCTCCCTGCACCCACACCACTCCCGGGGGCTAAACCCAGCTGCTTTAAGGACCCAGCTTTAGGATCACCCCATCCTCTCCTATGGCAGAACAAGCCTTGAATCCCACTAATGTTCTTTTCTGGGAACGCAGAGATTTCTGGAGGAGCTTGGAAGTAATGTCTTATTTCTGAACAACCGCCTTGAAAACAGGGCTGGAGAGCCCAGGCTGGCTGGTTTAATGATTCACCTCTTGGATGGCCATCCAAAAACCAGAGATGCAGACACCCAGGCTCTGCTGTAGGTTATTTCTGCCACCTCAATCTGATTAGATTCCATCTCAGAGCATGAACCAGGATCTCATAACCCTGACCTCATAACCTACCCTTAGGTGGGACTTGCTCTGCTGATGTAGGGCCTAAAACCAGCTCACTCTCAGTGCTGCAGAGCCAGACCAGCAAGTGTAAGAATAAGAAATAGCAAACAAAGATCTTTGTTCTTTGTAGCCAGGAGAGTCCTAACCCCATCTGCTGAGCTGCACACACAGGGGTTGGGGTCACAAAGTCACACAGCAACACCTAGAGTGCAAAGGCCCTGTTCTGAGCAGGAACAGAGCACTACCTGTGGCCATGTGCTGCCGAGTGGCTGAAGCAGTTCATGTCCTCGTGGAGTGATGATGACATCCCATTGACTTCCAGCATGCTCAGGAGTGGATCAGCACCCCTGCTGAGCAGCAAGCTGACCAGCTCGTAATTCCCTGGGGAAACAGGACAGGAGCATCAGGATGGTCCCCTCTTTGGAAGCACAAAACACAGGACTGCTGGCTCTGCTCCCATTAGATGGAGTAGGGAGTGGTGGCAGGAGATCCAGCACTGGGAGGGGAGGAGGCCTTTTTTATCCCTTCCATAAAGCTTGGAGCAGAGCATGCCAGCCACTCATCTTCATAAAAGCACAAAAATAACAGAAAAAAAAAACCAAAAGGAAAAATCTAAAACCACTTTGAGGTGAAGTGTTGACAAACAAGGCCAGCACAGACTCGTTCAGAGAATGCTCAACTCCTGACAGCCCGCTAGAAGAAATGCAGAATTTTTACCTGCCTTTAATAAACTAATAAACCAAATTTCCTTATATAACAGTTATTTTTCCCCAGGCTGAATGGAAACTTGTTAATTTTTCACATCTGGGTGTTGCTTAGGCCCACAGACATGCCCAGACTAGACAGAGGCTGGTTTATGTTCCTTGGCAGTGCTTTGTGAAAGAGTTGGTGCCATCAGCTCTGTTGTGGGGGCTCTGGGGAGGAGGCAAGCATGGGGCAAGATGAAAAACAGACACTTGGGGCCCATCAGGCTGGTGGCACGAAGAGGTGGAGAGTGCTGAGGCCACAAGGAGCTCACCTGCAGCTGAGGCCAGCTGGAGGGGGGTCTCAGCATAGTTGTCCTCCCCAGTGTTCACAGCAGAGCCCTCCACGTGGGCACCAGCATCCAGGAGCAGCTGCAAGGGCACAGGAAAGACAGGGAGTTGGGAAAAGAGTTATTCAGAAGGACCAAACAGCCAGGGCTGGGTGTTAGAAAGGAGAACCAGTGGGTTCAGAGTGAGGAGGGCAGACACACAAAGGGCCCATCTGGAGAGCAGAACCTCCTTTCTTAACCTCCTTTATGGTCGTGGCTGTGCAGTTGGGATCTCCCAACCCCAAAGGGCTCTGCAGTAGGAGCAGGAAGCCCATCTTAGCTCCATGCTGTGCCCAGGAATCAGGGCTCCCCCAGGGATTACCAGGCTGGTCATACCTCGGGGAGCCTGTGCAGGGAGGGCTGGCAGTGCAGGGATTTGTCACACAGAACCTGCTTCCACTGAGCCCCCTGCCATGGGAAGGGGAGAAGGTGATGGGGATGTTTTATGGCCAGTTGGGGCTGGCAGAAGGCTCTGGAGCACCCAGAGCAGTGCTGGCAGGGAGGACCAGCCCTGTACGTGTGTATCCACCAGGATATTCCGTGCTTCCACGGCTGTGGGCACTGCAGCACACAACAGGAGCTTTGATACACTTGGCTTCATCTCCTGGGAGAATCAAACTCGTATCTTACACATAAATTAAGGCTGTCCAACCTCTGGAATACCAAAGGCTGCCTGGGCAGTTTGCCAGGTGGAATCTAATCTTTATAATTATGTACAAATGTACACAAACAAAAGATGAGTGTGTGCAGCCTCCATTTACTTTATATATATATATTCTTTTATTCCTTCCCTTTGAGCAGAAGGTAAATTAAATTCAACAGCAATTGATTGTCTACTGTGATCAGTTTTTCAGTCCCCTGGAAGTTTGAGTAACATTTCTGTGGCTCCACCCCATCCTGCTGCCCCCTGTAGATAATTCCACAGAAAGGGAGCAGGGAGGATGCCACAGGCTCAAATCCCACAACAGCTTAAGTCTTGTTCATGCAATTCTCAAGGATTATGAGGGAAGTAACAGATTATTTGCTGCCATTAGAGCAGAAATCAGCACACATTGGATTTTTGCACACGTAAATTTATAAACCAATTAATATCTACTGTTATAAAGCTCCTGATCAAACAGCCAACCTGTAACCACTCCAGGGGAAAAACTATTTTATTTAAAACCAAAGAAATGATTGCAGCACTGTTTTGGAAGCAGTGAGCCTTGGAGCAATACTGAAACCACAGAAAAATATGCAAACACACTGAGTTTTGTTATCAAGGCTTTCCTAAGAATTATGTCACCGATTTTCACTCTCCTTGTTTTAAGTCTTTTTCACTGGTTTTGAGGAGGCTCAGGAAGGCTGAGAGAGAGGCACACAGGGCTGCATTTCAGCCCCCTGTGTCTCCTGGAAGGATTCCTGGCCGGAATCTTACCTGGACCACGGAGATGTGGCCGTGTAACACGGCGAAGGTGAGCGCAGTCCAGTGGCGGCTGTCGGGATGCACCGAGGGGTGTCGTGGGGAGGCACTGGGCACCTGCAGAAGGCAAGCAGGCACTCATCACCCACTGCAGCCTGCCTGCCTCCATCCCTGCCTTGCACAGAACCAGCCTCTTCCTCTGAGAGCGACAAGGCCAGGGAAGGGGGACTCGGGCCACTCAGAGAACATTGCCACCACCGCTCACTCTGCCCTGGCCCCGGGGACTTTGCAATGGGCTCCTTCCCTCCCCCTCCCCTTGCCCATCAGACTTGCCAGTGCCAATCTAATGGGAGCCACCGAGCACTCCAAGAGGTTGTGAAGATTTTCTCCCCCCATCCCCAATCCCTGAAGCGACAGTTTCTGAGAGAAATGCCTTGTTTGAAGCTTCCAGTTGCTAGGAGAGATTTCAGAATTCCTCCCATTAGTTTGCAGCTGGATAATTATGGGCAGAGGGTTACTCACTGGTATATCTAAATTTGCTCCAGCATCTATAAGCATCTGGACCATGGCTTCATCTCCAGCAGCACAGGCGTACATGAGGGGGGTCATACCCTTCAGAAAGGAAAATGAAAAATAAAAACAAAGTTATCTTTCTATCCCTATCAACAGTGACACTCTCATGGACACAGCGCGTTTGAATCTTGATGTACAACGCATGTGTATGGATGGCACAGATTTTTATAAAGCATTTTTGTTTTCTATGCAGAGTGGGCACAACTGATATTGGAAAATGACCTGGACATAACATCACTGGACAAGGCTGAAAGAACATAAAAAGGATCACTGAAAATCCTAGCCCTGTATTGTCCACAATTCTCCAGCTTTCCCAAGGCTGCCAACAAAGAAATGCTATTTCTTGGCTCATTTGTAGCCAAATGAACTGAAGGCAGAAAGCAACACAAAAATACAGGAGATGAATTTATCTGGCAACTTCTCCCCATTGCTAAAATCCTATTTGCCTCAATATTTCAGCATTTCAATCCCATAAATCTCCCTCCCTCTACTTAACCAGCAAACCATGACGGCTCAGAGATGAATTATGAGCAAAATGAGCCTTACTTATGGAGTTCATTCCTGAAGTAGCCAAGGACAGAAAGGAAATGGCCTGGTAAAATCCATTCCTGCTCACATCCCACAGCTTTCCTGCCCCCTCCCCTTAATTATTGCAGGCATTTGAATTTTTTACAGGCAGCATCTCTGCTGCTCAGTGTGCAATAACAGAGCTTCATCCTTAATGGGAGCTGCACTCAAAAATGGAATTACATCTCTCACACAGGAGTTCTGCTCTTGACTCTGCAAAGGTGGCTTTCCAAAGCAGCCACAACTCCCAGCTTCCTGATCTGGGGCACTTCCATTCATGAAGATATTTCTGGGTGAGATTGTTTCTGGGTAAGATATTTTGGCTTTTGTGGAAAATAAAATGCAGGTCTGCAGGCACAAATCCCTGTCAGGATTCTAAAACATGTATAGACTCACATTCCATTTTTTTTAAATTTTAAATGTTAGTTTTGCACTCCCTGCTTGCTCCTTGCAAAGGGAAGAAGAGATTGTTTTCCTAAATATCTCCAATTCCCTGAAACCAGAATGCTTGTTGGTCCCCATCAGAACTGAATACAGAGTCCTGCTCCAAACTCACGTTTCTGAGGGGATGTTCTGAGTTCTTTTCCACAGATTTCCATGTACACAGATGGACTAGTGGGTGTGAACATCCTGGACATGCTCACACCCTGGGAGTGGTCAAGATTCCAACCTGGATCTAAAGCCTTAGTATTAAATTATCTAACAGTTCTGTCATGCCTAAGTCAGTCTTCCCAAGTCTGGGAATTTCTCTTACTCTTTTCCAGAAGAAGCAAAACAAGCTGGTGGCAAAGTCCAGCTTTGGTTTCCTATTCCAGCTGTGGCAGTTTCATTCCCAGAACTTGGATTTAACCCTGTCTGGGGTTGGCAGTGCCATGCAGGCACTTGCTTGGACACAAAGCTGAGTTGCTCCAGAGTCAAGTGGAGAATTTCCAAGCAACAATGTCTCCAGAGGGGGCCTGTCCTGCCCTTTTTGTTGGTGACAAAACACTCTTTGAGGGGCAAAGATGACAGAGCTGGCAAGAGGATCCCACCCGCAGGATGAGACATCAGTGAGTGACAGCAGAAACTCCTCAGACCTGCCCAGGAGCTGCCCACAGGGGTCTCTGCTGACAGAAGCCAGGCAGCTCCCAGCCTGCTGCTGGGTGAGAGAAGGAACATCCTGCAGCAGGAGGTGACAGTCCTGGCACCAGTGTCTGTGGAGCTGGGGCACAGTGGCTCACAGTGAAAATCGCAAAATAATCTTCGAGAGAATGAGAAGCCTCTGGGCTACAGAAAGAGGAACTGCAGAAACTTACTAAAAATATAAAGAGGAAGTAGGAAACCTTCATAATATAAATCTGCCACCCGGGTTACTTTACTAAAGTGAGTATCTATGACGAGATACCCACCCCAGTGACCACAAAGCTCCTGGTACTGCATTTGTAAACAAGGCAACTACAGACTCAGATGTGTCCAGAAGCAGTTTCTGCTATTTGTGTACACATTCACACTTCCCTTAAAACTGCAGGATGGTGGGAAGCGCCATGGAAGATGTGCCAGGTTCAGAACTGGATCTGCTACTGCAGTAAAATACTGGCTGTGAGAAAACCTGTCTACCTGAACATAAACCATTCCCACTGCTCAATATCCTCTTGTTCCAGAGATGTGACAGCTCATTCTCCTTGCTGTGACAGCTATAACGAGTGTTTGTTTAGCAGAGGTGGCTTTTTTCCTCCTCCTTTTTAAATTAAAAGCTAATTCCATGCATTGAACGATGCCCCAGAGGACAGACTCTGCTGTTGCTTGATGGGACTGACAGCACGAGCAGAAGCAGCCAGAGACTCCCAGGACTACCAAATCCCTATGGCTCAGTGTAGCTGAGCAGGGAACAGTAAAAAATGGATAAACAGACACATCAGCGTGATGGACTATGAGCAAATCTAATACTGACTGACACCAGGCCACTGGGGTGGGGGTCTCAGTGCTGTTTTTTCTTGTATTCCAAACTGCTCTGAGCCTGAAAGCCATGAGACAAAAACACCTTTTGGTCACTCCTCACTGACCCAGCCAGGATTTGGGCTGTTGAGCCAGAGGAGAGTGTCACTGGAAAAGAAACCACTTTGCTTTGACATCCTCTCAGCAGTATCAGACTTTCCATTCACTGCCCCTGTGTTAACCTGCCTGCCAGCAGTGCCTGAGACAGCCCATCCAAGGAACAGACATTCCACTGATAAACAATCCTCTCCGGGCTCTAATGGGATTTTCTTTGGAGGGGTGGCATGAGAGTGGGGTGGGGAAGTATTTTTCTGTGTTCTAAGGGATGCATTTTCAGCCTAAAACACGAGCTAGAATTAGAAAACCCCTGGAGAGGCAACAAACACGACCTGGTATTGATTTGCCACATGGAAAGGAAGGAGAGAGTTGCTGCTGCAGGGAATTTTGGGGCTGTGAGTGTTTGTGCTGCAGGGAGTTTTGGGATTGTGAGTGTTTGTGCTGCAGAGAATTTTGGGGTTTTGAGTGTTTGCTCTGCAGGGAGTTTTGGGGTTGTGAGTGTTTGTGCTGCAGGGAATTTTGGGGCTGTGAGTGTTTGTTCTGCAGGGAGTTTTAGGATTGTGAGTGTTTGTGCTGCAGGGAATTTTGAGGCTGTGAGTGTTTGTTCTGCAGGGAGTTTTAGGGTTGTGAGTGCTTGCTCTGCAGGGAATTTTGGGATTGTGAGTGTTTGTGCTGCAGAGAATTTTGGGGTTTTGAGTGTTTGTTCTGCAGGAGTTTTGGGGTTGTGAGTGCTCGTTCTGTGGCACACCTGATCATCCATGGTGTTCACCCCGTCGGGGCCCAGTGCATCGATGGCTTGGTTGATCAGATCCGTCCTCCCACAGTTCAGCATCCGGAAGCCCAGATCCTGCTGGAATTTCTCAGTAGCAGCTTTAGCATCCAGTCTCCGGAAGGAACTGAAGCAGCATTCAGGTCTGTGAAAGAAAAGAATTCCTGGATGGTGCCCATAGCATAAGATATGCATCCTTAGTCTTTTCTGGGCAAAAAATACCCATTTTTTTTAAAGTATGAAATAGAAATCAAATTTAGGCAAGGGAACACCCTCATCGCTTTTGCAGCAACTCAATTAAAGGAAGTGCTTTAGCATTTCTATGAGGATCCACTAAATCCTCATCCTTTAGATGACTATCAGGACAATTTTATGTCACCTGGAAGGAGCCCAGGGATTACTGTAAATCCTCTGGCTGTCTGTTCAGACTCTCCTGAGTTCCAGACCTGGAAGTGTGTCTCCTTCACTGAAGGATCACTTCCCAGCTGGAGGTTGGCACTGGGAGGCTCAGCCCTTTGATGTTATTTTGGGGTGAATGCCTTCCACAGTACCTGCCTGGTTTCCAGCACAGGCTCTTGAGCAATCTCCCAGTGAGTGAGATATCAGCCTGCCAAGTTCCTCTGATAAATGAGATGCTTTCAGCACAGCCATCCTCCTCTGGAGAGCCTGGACAGCCTGCCAGAGGATCAGGCCACTCATCACCTCACACAGAAGATTCAGGATGAATCTCATATAAAATCCTACCATCATCTTCTTCTAACTGGTATCACAATCTACACTATTACCCAAAATAAGATGTAATTACTTTATATAATAGTAAGAAGAATTCTGTTTAAAAAAAAGAAAAAAGTGAAATAAAATAATTCCACTTGAAATCCAGTGAATCTTAGAAAAATAAAGGTTTTTGAAGGGATGGAACTTGCCTTTGCACATTGTTCCCTGTTCCACAGCAAGCCAGGAATAAATACATAAATAAACAAATGAACAAACAAATCAGTTTCAAGGCCTTCTTTCCCTTGAACATGCTGGATACAAAAAGGATCAAATAATGCAATCTGGAATCAACTTTTTGTTTGTTTCTTTGTTTTTGTTTTTTTTGGGGTTTTTTTGTTTTGTTTTTCTAGTTTAGATCTTTCATTCAAGCTATCTTATAAAGCAAAGAATAATCTTGCCATTAAGTCTGCAGCACAGAAAAACGCCAAACACAAGCAGGTCGTTGCTCTCTGGAAAAGCCTTTCTTTTTTACAGTTTTAGGAGAAAAAAATGCAACTTTATGAACTTATCTTTCAATGGGATTCTTCTGAAAAAATCCTTTGTTAATAATAAAACAGGTTTTTCTTCCTTACAGGTCCATGAAAATAATTTCTACAACTATAGAAATGACAGCACAAATTGTAATCAAAGCTTTGATTGTAATCAAAGTCCTATTGTTTGTATATATATATGTAAATATAAGTTAAAAGAAAAATATCCCAGACCCTATTTGGTTCGTATTTTGTATTGAATTTTCAGAAAGACAAAAACCTTTCTGCCCCAGCAGCAGAGTTTGGCCAAAGCTCCTTTATCCCTGCGAGCAGCAGAAGGTTAAACGCGCATCGCCTGTACGGCACGGCGAGCTCTGCCTACGGAGAAACGGAGCAAAAGCACATCTGCAGAAGCTCCAAGGAGTGGAGGAGCTTTCCAAAGCTTAGCCCACGTACTTGAGCTGGCGAGGCTCGCAGTCCAGCCCCGGGAGGAGCAGCCTGGCTGTCTGCCTGATGTCATCGCTGTCCACGGTGAGGCTGCGGCGGTGCTCGGCGTAGGTGATGGCCACCCGCATCCACTCCATCAGCGGCGGCAGCAGCATGAAGGGGCTGGGGAGGGAGAGCAAAAAATCCATTATGGAACAAGGGCTGGGGCTGCAGGACACTCCTGGGTGGGCAAGGGGGAGCCTGGCATGGATAAATCCCACCTGAGCAAGGAAACCGGACTGGAAGGTCTCCAGGGGGAAGGAGATGCTCAGCCTCGGTCACCTGAACACTTTATGTAACAGCTATGCCTCTTATTCTAAATATTCCATAGGCACAGGATTATTTATTATCATGTTAATGCTCCTCCGTTAGGAACACTAAAAATATCCTTGACCATCCTTGCTAATTCAGTGCTGCCTCCATTAACCTTTACATTACCACAATCCTCATGGCTCTTTACATTTTGCTTTCTTATGCACAGCTCAGTTTTGCCCACCTGAACCTCAGTTCTGCCCCTCTGAGTCTCCCAACCACAAAACTGGTGGAACAATGAGGTTTTACTCAATATGAAGGGCTGAAAGGCAATAAAGGAATACAAATAAGGTAATAACAGCAGCACCAGCTCGTGATTAGCCCTCCTTGCTCCTGCTGTAAGAATGAACACAGCACTGAGATCACACATTAATGTATAGTTACCATAATACTCCCATACACAACATATCTCATCCACCCTCTCAGTATACAGCCAGACTGATCTATTTTGCTTGATTTTTCCCCAAGGATACCTGCCACCCCAGCGGAAGGCTTGGAAGTGCCAGCTGTAATGAAAACACTTCTCCCATTCCCCAGTAACGACTTCATTAACGCTGTGGAAAAATAAATTTTAAAAAAAGCCTTTTCCATTTAACTATTCAAAAGAAAAGAAGTAAGGGGACAAAGGATCAATTCCTTTACAAAGTTCAGGGAGAAAAAGATATATATGAGGGAATATGAACTGATTTGGGCATTAATGAAAGCAGCTGAAGCTATGAAAGGCATTTTCAAAGCTGTGTCTGTGTACATGTTTGAGGGCAGGAAGAGTGAGCTGCCCCAATCCTGTTAGGAACCATTTATTCCTAATGGGATTTGCAAGCAGAACTCCCTTTATCACGACTTTGAACACCCTTCAGGCTGGAATAACCTCACTCTGTAAAAATATGTGCTGTTCCCATTTTCTCAGCAAGGTGCACCCTGAAATGCTGCCATTACACTCCACAAACACACCCACTATTCTTCCCTCTTCTCCTTTTCTTCTTTCTCCTCTGAGTTGTGAAATATCATCTACAAAACCAGAGGTGTTTTAAGCACCGGATCCATCCTGGATTGCCAGGGTGTTTCTGACAGGATATTGACGTTCTCCTGTTACCAGTTTACTTTTCTGTCAAAGAATCAGAATATCAGGGTTGCTACAATCACCACTTTGAAAATCACCCAGCAGCTCATCCTTCCCAAGACTTTCTGAAAGGGATGGGATGAATCATTCCAGCTCACCCAATTCAGAGCTGATCGACTTCCCTAAGGGAAGAGCAGGAATTGTCAACAGGAATTCGGGAGATGCCTTTCAGCAAATTCCTGCTCCAGAGAATTTCAACTCTTATCTGGCCTGGAAAAGAGTCATTCACACTTTTTGAATGCGGGTACTTAAGAGAGGAGCCAAAATTAATTATTTATCTTTTCTTTGTACTCTGCAGAGCCTCCAGCATGGGATTCAAAGTTCCACAGAGGTGGTGAGGGCAGAGAGGTAGGCCAGGGAGGCTAAAAGCACCAAAATTAAATACAGAATTAAATTATATTTAGATTGGGAACGCTCAGGAGTACTGGAAAAGCTCATCTTGGAAGAGATTCCATCTGCCACCTTTTGTGGTAAATAAAGATTTAGGGCATATCCCAGCTTCCCTGACACTGCCATGGTGGGAACACTGATCATGGGAATCATGTTCCTGATCAAATAAACCCTGGCGACTGACTCAAGGCCCTGGGCAGCCAGAGCCTGTGGTCAGCCAGCAGCAAATGCCACGGAGTCTGCACCAGAAATAACACCTATCCTAAAGGAATTTCCACTCTGCAAAAAATCCACATGTGCCAAGGTTATAAATGGCTTCCACACAAGCAGACCTTGGATGTGGAAAACTTGCTTTGGGAGGAATGGCAAGGAGAAAGATTTTTTTCCCTTCTGTTTCTTTTTTTAATCTCAACAGATTTTTTTCCAAGGCTTTAAAAGTGACAGCTCAGACTGCCTGGTTCCCCTGTGTCCAAAGGGGAGCAGACTTTGGAATGCAAACAGCAGTGTCAGGAAGGATGCTGTCATCCTGCTGTCCTGATTTTCCAAACCCCATCACTGGCATTGCTGTGCAAATCGAATAAATTATTCAGTGTTCTATCAAAGGTCACTATAATGGCTTCAATTGCTATTTTATTGAAACAACTTTGTTTCTCTGCAAAATTTCTAACTCGAGGATGGGCTTTTTACTCTTCCCCTCTGCTTTGATCCAACTATTTCCTTTCTCCCAACTTGGCCATGCTCTGGGAACAGCTTTATCTTCCTTTGCTCACTGACACTCCACCAGATAAGCAGCATTATCCCAGGACTGAAGCAGAAAGGAGAGGTGCAGTTCAGCTGAATGGAACACCAACACTGGGTCATGTTGCACTAAGAAAATAAATGAAATTACTCATTCCCTAGAAAATAAAATGCCATTCTCAACCCTGTGGCCCTTAACCTGGGCATCCATCTGCCTCCAAGGAATCACTGATCATTTCACAGTCTGCAGGAGGGGAGGGGAGAAACCTTAATGGAGAATTAACTGGGAGATGCTGCGAGCTAAAGAATTAATTTCTGTCTCTGAGCTCCTGCCTGCCCCATGTTCTGCACAGTGCCATTCTCCTCTGGTCTTCCTGACATTTAGAAGTGTTTGGCAGCTCATTAAATTCCACATATGAAGTGATCCAGCCTCGGGAAGCTGTCATATTCCAGCAGCAGCTCGCTGGGGACACAGACCCTCAGTTTTCTGGGAAGAGCAATGCTACCATGGCTCCTTCCAGTTTTTTGCCATGAAGTTGTCCTGGACTGATGCCAACGTGGACTGGGAATGTGCACAGGACTGGGAAGTGGACTGGGAACTGCTCCTGCTCTGTACACCTTGTGAAGAATCACCCCGATGTCATTCTGTGATACTGTCACGTGCAGTCAGTATTCCACCCCTGAGCTCTCTGAAATTCTCTCCATCTGGAATTGGACACTCCATTCCCGAGGGGATCACCTTGGGGCTGGGTGAGAGTGCTCTGAGAAAGAACAGGCTTTATTATGGGCTTTCCCCCTTCCTTCGAGCTAAACCACATTGTTTTATTTAGACATAGCCAAGGAGGCCAAGCAGCACTTGGCAGAGAATGTACAGTAAGTTTTAGGATAACTTTTTCCTGGAAAAGGTACGTGCATCAGGATGGCTTTGGACATGACCCACATGTGGAGAGCACGTGCAGCATCTCGAGGAGAAGCTGTGGGATGACAGATTTTCAGGGATATCCATCACAAGGAAACCAATCCACAAAGCGGGCTCTTCTGGGGATTTCTAGGAGCACTGGGATCAAGATATTTTTTGGCTAAGGGAAGTTAATTGCATACAAAAAGGAGAGCACTCCAGAGGAGTTGTCATCCTTTTTCTGCTTTGAGCACCTGCTAACTCAGGTGAAGACAATAGGGTTTCCCCCCAAAAAACAGCCTTTCTATCACCTCTGCCTCTGTCCTCAGGAGGATCCAGTGACAAGACTGCTGAAAAATCACAGAATCATAGAATTGTTTGGGGTAGAAAAAGCCCATCTTGTTCCAAGCCCCTGCCATGGGCAGGGACACCTTCCATTAGCCCAGATTGCTCAGAGCCTCTCCAACCTGGAGGGAAAAAGGAGGAATAAAATATTTTCCCTGCTGACCTCTCTGCTATTTTTCATTGCCTTCTGTTCTGTTACAGCAAAACAAAGCGGGAGCCAACAGTGACAGCAACAGCAAGAAAGAAAAACCTTGTTCTTCTAAACAAGGCTCTCCTTCTTCTAAAAGGGGGAAAGAAAATCCTGTCCTAGTAGAAGCAGGTGGGAATGGCAAAATTCACCTCCCTCCTGGCAGCCTGAGCAGGGCGTGAGGCACAGGCAGAGTCTCCCATCCTCCTGTCCCCAGGCCTTCTAAATGGCCTGAGTGAACTAAAGCACGTGGAAATATCACAATATTTATGGTCAGAGTGGGGTAGCCCATGGTAACTCCCCCATATTTGACTTACAAGAACTATACAGAGGCTCCTGTGGAGAAGAACCCCAAAACTTTAAAGATCAATGTGGGGTTTTGCAAGAGACTAAAAAATAAAAAGGAAAGGTTTTCAGTGCAGTGAGCTAATGTTTGAATTTATGGCTGGAATCAAACTCTGCGGCTCAAAGTCACTAAGATGGAAAAATCCCAAGGATGGCAACAAAGTCAAAAAGAAATGAGAGTGAAGTCTCATTACTTGGAGAAGGGAAAAGATTCTGAGGCAAGACAGAGTATCCAAAACTCAAACCATGGCATGCTGATGTGGAAAACAGTGGAATATTTACAATTTGGATTCTCAAACACTAAAACCCCTCTTCAAGCAGCAGGGAGAAAAAATACATCTCAGAGTATATAATTATATGTGAATAAAATAACAACAGAGATGTTGATTTAGGAGAAACACAAAATTGTTGCTCCAAAATACAACCAGCTTCAGACAGGAGCTGCTCCTCATAGATTCAAAAGTATTTTACAAAATTTCAAGAACTTCCCATATTTACAGCAGAAAAAAATAGGAATTACTGTGCTGGGCCTTATTCAAGGATTATCTCAATATGTGCAACAACTTTCAAAGCAGACAGTCCAGATCCTTACAGTAAAGGAAGAAGAAATTTAATCACGTCCAACTGACCCCAAAAAGTGTTCTTCTGACTTCCCTTAAAACAATGACTGGCTCACATCTCAGAAGATAAGAGTTCTCAAATTTTAGTGGATCGTTATCAAGTTACTAAGGCCTTGGCTTGGCTATGCCATGAGTTTAGAGTTATCCTGCAGTCAGACACTAATGGAA